CTTTGGAGAAGTGTCTGTTCATTTCCTCTGCCCGTTTTTTGATCGGGTTGTTTGTTTTTTGCTGTTCAGTTGTGTGAGTTCTTTATATATTATGGAGATTAACCCCTTGTCAGATATATGTTTTGCAAATATTTTCTCCCAGCTAGTGGGTTGTCTGTTCATCTTGAAGAAATGGAAATATTTTATTTGGTTGGTTAAGAAAGATAAATTTGTCCCAAAGGACTAGAAGGGAAGAAAGAAAGGCATGGGACAAATTCTGAATGTAAAAAGAAAGTTATGGAAGGTTTGTGGAAGAGGAATTCTGGAAAAAGAGTTTTATGCATGGCCAAGATGGCTGAGATTAAAGTAAATCCAGTTAAGTAAATGAGTTTTAATATCAGAAGTAAGCTGGTACAAAGTCAAAATTTGGTCTCCTTTCTCTTAAAAGGATAATTTTCTTGAACTTGATAAAGAGGCTATAAAAGGTTTTTCTTTACCTTTGAGTAAGTCTACCTAAAAGACAGACAAACTGTTAATTTCCTGTGTTCAAAAGACTGAGGTCTCTCCATCAAGGCTTTTTGGACTGTTAATGCTCTGTTTGCCCTTGACTGTTTATATTCTTGACAAGCTCCCCAAAATTCATATCTTAAATAAAGTCTTTCTTTTGACTTTTTTTCTTTGAGAATTTTCAAAGGGCCCCTGGAACTTCTCAAAGAAATTTGCTCTCTTCCTATGAGGAGGAAGATACTAAACTTATTAGGCTTATTTGGTATGTTAAATTACATGAGAAGCATTGTCAAATAAGTGATGATAAACCTTCTTAGGTGATATTGCATGGGTGAATGTTATTGATATAGGTGTTTTGAAATTGTATAACACTACTAAAATTCTGATCTGTCCTGGTTATTAGTCTGGTTCTGGTTGTTATTTTAAAGTATTGTATGTCACAAAATTAACCACATGTCTTTGTTAATTGCCATTTTGGGGTCTCATTGGTTACAGACAGTTATTTCTTTGCTCTGATGCTTTTGCAAAATATGTTTCATCTTCAGAGAAATTCATGGAAAGGACTCTGGCACTTACTCTAGGATACAGGTTTCTGATAAACTTTCAGATCATAACACTGAACTGGGTAAGAACTCTGACAGAGAAACTCCGGACTTCATGAAACTGCTAACAGAAGATTAAGATCAAGAATTAATTACACTGAACTGAATGAACTGATGGGGATGATTATAATTTTTATGAATTTTCTTTGAAATATTGCTGATTTTTTTTAATGTTTTGTGTTTTTCAGATTTAAGGAAACCTTTTCTTTTCTCCTGAGATAGCTATGAGTTATGGCAATTTGGTAAATTATAACTTTGTAAGCAAAATTGAAACATTTATCTTTTTCTCTCTACCTGATCCCTCCAGGATTTGGAAACTCTTAGTAAGTGAGTATTGTTTTCATGTCAATATAGTTATTTGCATGAGTTCAATAAGAATCTGTTCTCCTTATAACAGGACATAATTGGAAACATTGGTTATATTACCAAAGCTTTGACTGGAATGTGACAAGACAGCTTCTGAGATACAAAGATTGGACTTTATGGAATAAAGCCACATGGAAGTATTGGTCTGGTACCTTATGTTCAGTGTTCCAAGCAGCATTTACTGGATAAGTAAGGAATGTCACTTATCTGGCAGGTGCAAGGAACTTTGAAATATTTTAGGGGACCTCGAGAAGAGAGGAATTCACTCAAATCTGCAGGTATTTCAGGCAAAGGCTGATGACAAAGTGGCTTGGCTTTCCTGGCCTCGAGAGGCCTTCAAAGTTCAATCTGAGATTCCTTATAAAGAATTCCAGCAAAGCAGATTAGAAGAGCCTATATGATCAATGGTTATTCTTGCTGTACTTATGTAAGTAATTGGTCCAAGTTTATTTTATTTTGCAAACCAGTTAGTTTAATTTGGCTATCTTTGATAAAATGAGGGTGATTTTAGAGAGAAAAATATACGTTTCAATAGAAACTATAGTACACATTCATGGATTTTAGGTTCTAGTTCTGATAATTGTCTCTGAGGTTTCTGTTTTATATCCATTAACTGGACTCTATCCTGAATTCTTCTAGTCTCTTGAAATATCTGGCTACAAATCTCCAAACTAGTGTTTTCAATTTTTTTCCCACTACTTTCATTTGGAATCACGGAGAACTGAACCTGTCCTTTTTCCTGAAGCCTTGCAAACTGAAGCTGGTGGACTTGATATAAACTTAAGAGAGATTCATGTCTGTTAATGTAAGCCACTCAGAAAGGTACCTCAATACCCGATGACATCATCAGAGACATTTATGATGCAAAAGATGCTTTGGCACTAACATCTAGAAATCTTCTTGACTGGCTGTCCCCTGGACTCAGAAACCAGTTTATA